TAGGGCTTGGTTGGAAGGAAGGTGGCCACATCAGGACCTGTCATGGGGAGGGAAAATGGGAAGTCGGCCCCTGGCATGACAGAGGAAGTGGAGGAGTTGAATGAAAGTAGAGGGATGGGAAGATAGACACAGTGAACATTTTTTTAATCACAAATGATTAAATGAAATGAAGGAATGCAGGAAGGTCCTGCTTTATGTTTTTAGTGTGCTCAACCCACAGATGCTGCAAAGTGAGCAACGCCCAGCATGTGTGCACCAGAGTCATTCAGGAAAATCAGGGTTATCGACTCCGGCAGCTACAATTATTTCCATTTGTGTTTTGTTGCAGAGGAATGACATAGCCATGGCAATTACCAAATTCGATCAATTCGATTTTCTCATTGATATTGTTCCAAGAGATGAACTGAAGCCTCCAAAACGTCAGGTGAGAAAAGAACACTGTTACTGGTATTCTTTTATTTATATGGGTGAATTTCCACTGTGGGAGTTTCTGCCTTTATGAGGTGAGCTTCAAATATAAGTAAAAGACATTTGTCTGCTGGCTTGCAGCATTTAATGTATTTCAGCTTCTTGGATCTTCTGTGTTTTCTGTTGTCAGTGTGGTAAATACTGGTGGTGACTGCTGTTGCCATTTGCCTCTGAGACACATAACTGAGCCCAAGTTAGAAACCGGAGTTATAGCGTGTGTATTAAATACTGAAAGCGCCAACAAGAATTGCATAAAACAGAACATGTGATTGTCATTATGGTACTTATAGTCGTGTAAGTAACAAGTGTGTGGCTGCATATGGTTGCACCCAGTATCTGCTTGGATAGAGACGAAAAAATAAAAGTCCATGTTTTTTTCCACCGCTGAAGCTCATGAATCTGTTTCATGAAACGTGTCTTCTTCAGTATTTGTAATTGCTTTATTTGCAAGGGCCATAATGACTGCTCACATAAGTGGCAAGAGCACTGGGCAGGAATTTGGGATACCAGACTTCTATTCCCAGCTCTATTCTCTGCCTGCCGAGAAATTTCAGACCAGTCATTTCCTTGCCTCTGTGTTTCCATTTCTCCATGTGTAAACTGTGGGTAACAATACCAGCCCCCATGTAAAGCTTTTTAATTTAATGATGAAAAGTACTGTGTTGGAGCCACATAGTATTGTTCTGGTCAAAATCTGAGTGCGTGCATGCGTGTGTGTTTCTTTTGGCATTTCCTCATCCAAATGTCCAACTGGCAGCATGAGTTAGATCAGGGGTGGCCAATCTGTAGCATGCATGCCACAAGAAGCCCAGGCAGCCTCTGTGTGTGTGGCACAGGGCAGATCAAACACAACAACAAATAGGGCAGAAAGCAGAGCAGTGGATCAGGCAGAGGAAGAAAATTGGATTGGCACCCAGGGAGGGTGCAGGGCTAATTTGTGGCATGCCTGGCAGAAAGGTCAATGCTCACTGAGTTAGATTATAGAAAATTTAAGCTATTGGCATTTTGCAGTAACAGTTCTTGTTAAATTGGAAATTTGTATGAAACTGACTTTTTCATGGTGGCTGAGGGACAAGATGTTTAATAGAGATATATAATAAGTGTTGTTAATATTACAAATGCAAGAATGTCTAGAAACCCATCCACCTCTTGTATTTTGTCTGGTGGATAAGAAGGAAACATTGCTTCCCATACAAGTACCACATCCTGCATCTTCCTGGGCAGTCGATGCTACTGTAAACATCCTTGACTGGAAGCTGTAAGGTGCTAGAAGGAGCTTTCAGTCGGATGTTTACAGCGGCAGGCTGCCACAGTCATCCGAGTACCAGGTGTGCTTTGAAACTTAACAGGTTTGTGCTTTAAGAGTCCTTGTTTCTCTGCCTCTCTTGAGACCATGCCAAAAAATGGACCGGGTTCAGGGTAAAGCCTAGTTTCATTACCACTGAATGAACAGAGTACCAGATCTAGCTTTCTGCTAGGCTGGTTCATCACATGTAATCTAAAAGGTTTATATTCCCTCTGCTGTTTAAAATAACCTGTTCAGTTAGATGGCTATTCATCTCCTTTCTGTGGTCAGACTGCTGTACCTCCTTCACTGCTAGCTGCATGGTAGGCTGAATTAAAGGTGGGTTAACATCCAGTAGCTTATAGCCTTCTAGAACATCTAGAGTTGCAAGACAAGACTTTGTTCAGTAACTCCTGGAATCAGGAGTTCCTGAATTCTTGACTTCTTTAAAGTGTGCAAAGCTGAAGTGATCCCTTCCTCTCCAGGTAATTTGGGTCCAGTGCTCTGTAGGTACTATAACAAATGATTTACTTGCTGCTGGGACCACTTTTGTGATACTTGTGAAGGTTTGAGTTTGCCTATGAATTGTGGAAAGCGCAAGGTAGCATTTAGAATTTTTTACACTAGCAACTACCCTAGCACCTCTGGAAGTGTGATAAAAGAGTCTGCTTGCTTGAGGATAAATCCCTGCAGCCATATTGCATAAGAATTGTTCAGTTGTGCATTGAGCTCAGGGAAGTTTCCTTTCAAATTCAGATTTGGCTCACACACAGAAGATATCTTTGTTTCAGATGCTGAAAACAGCAGTTTCAGTACTGATATTATTCTTTGGTTTTGCAGTCTTTTATCAAGGTCTTCATGGTGTTGGTAGTGGCCCTTCAAAAGAAGGAAATACACATTTCTCCTTTGACTTTTTGCTATAAGCGCAATCACATACCCTGTCATTTCTGGAAACCTGTGGCTTTCTAGTGAACAAGAAAGTCTACAACACCCACTTCACTCCCAGATGCTACATGGAGTAGTAATAGAATACCACTTACTGGAAGGCATTCTTCACGGGGGAAAACATGCAGATAAAAATCAGCAAAGTCCAGTTATTACAGTACATATTTGTTGGGAATAATGTGGTCTAAATATACTAGCTCACATGATGAATGTCGTATATGAAAGCGTTATGTGCATTCCTTCCTTTCCCTAAGACTTGCTTGCTTATCCCCACATCAGTAAACGGAATACAGTTTCTCCAAAGATAACCTATTATTTACCAAAATAGTAGAACTGATTCTCAGTGGAGCACCCTAGACAGCAGCGATTTGGAAGTAATTAAGAATACTAACTTGTGGAGGGGGGCCCTGCATCTCAGGAGACCTGACACAATTGGGAAAACTGGTTAGGCATAAAGACATAACTAGGCTGTAAGTGAGAACAATCAGTCATTGCCCCAGAAAGGAAGTCAGTCTCTCTCCCAGATGTATTCCTGTTTGATGCTCCCAGTCTTTGATTTTATACAATACTCTATAGTTCTGTCCAGGTAGGACAGGAAAAACACCTTAAACATAATACTATTCCATACCTAAAGGACACTGGGTTGTTGCCTTGCATGTTTAACATTTCTTATGAAATGAATGCAGTAAGAATAGTATTTATTTATCTAATCCAAAATATAAAACACTCTGGTAGTATGTTACAGCAAATAACAGTAACTGTACACATTCATGTCAGTCTTTCTCAGTGATCCACTACAATAAAGCTTTTTCCTCTGGGTTGCGTAGCATAAATACCTGTGGAACCACGTCAGCGCTTGCTTTGAGATAGGCTTTGCAAAATCTCTACTGCAGATACACCTGCAGATGTCCGTGAACAGTGCTGAATCAACTAGAAATACATTTTCCAGGAGCAGGAGAGTTATGATGGGTGATTATAACTTATAAAGTAGAGGAAGAATTTTTAGTGGAAAAGCACAAGTCTTATTCAACAACTTTGCAAAGTTGCTGCCTGAAGGATGAAAGCTTGCATTTTTGGCTAAGGCTGCAATCTCTATTTTATCTCTACTGCAGCTTGTCATTTGACAAGTTAGTGGTGATTACATGGAAGAGTTGGTGGAGAAATGCATTGTTATATTGCTCTGATAACTCCAGCTATGGGCTGAATATAAAAGGCTTCAAATCATAGCATGTAACCTGGTTTAAACAGGTTCATATTTTAAAGCCATTTCTGCCTGGAGCACTGTGAAACATTAACCTGCACTGCATGCTTTAGTACGATGGTGAGTTGGTTTAATTCTTGTTCGAGAGCTTAATTAGGAATCCAGGGTGTTGCCGTCCTTGAAACAGGCTCTCTGAGTAGCTTGCTGTGCCAGAACTGCTACAACTGTTCCCTTTGCGTGATTTTTCATGATTGGATGAAGAGAGACGTGACTTTAACTGACGTACTCTAATAGCAAGAACAGCAGTGAATACATTCTAACTTCATTGTGAATAGCATGGAGGGTTTATACTGTAAAGAGCCCAAGGAAGCAGGGTGAAAATAATCCAGTGAATTCACTCGCATAGGAAAGGATGTAAAAATAAATCTTGGGTGTTTGGGTCTGTATTTGCCACTGGGTGGGTGGTATTGTTTACTCCCGGATTCAAGCTCAGAAGTAATTTCTTTCTCAGCTAACATGTTTCTTTTGCTTTCTTAGGGAGAAATATGCATAAATGTTTAGGGAGGAGGAGAGGACTGGAGGCTGGAGTGCACTTGCACTTCGATTTTTCTCTGATCTGACTCTGCTTTGCATTGTGTATAAATAAATACATTCAGGATTGATAGTGCTGCCTTTGTACACTGTAAGGGTATCAAGTCAGCGGTTTTGCATGCTTGCCCCCACATCATCCCTTGCCAGTGTGTCTCACCTTTCCTTTGAAGAAATCAGCTCACATGAGGGAGGGGGAAGCTCAGGTTGTAGAGGCGATTCGGTCTTTAAATCCCTGTTCAAACGGACAACAAAGGTTCCAGTTAGTGTCAGAGATGCAGGCACCTGTCTGCTAGGAACTGCACTCATTTTACATATGCCACTAAGAAGCCATCCGGTGAATTTTTTTCAGTTGCTTTCAACTTGAGCATGGACTGAACTGGCAGCTTGGAGGAAAAGGTAGCACTTTTCTAAACCCCTCGCCATCAGAACTACCCATATCTTGATCTTGTTTCTCTTGAGCATATAAATTGTTTCACATTAGCATCCTAAATAAGTAATTATCATTTATGCTGATTTGTGGGGAGCCTGCGTTTAATACAGGGGAGTCGAGTAAGCTTTAGTAATCTGGAATCTACCATGCCGTAGCATGTGTAAACATCCTACACTCTCAGCTGTGAACTCAAGGTGGCTGGGAGAGGGTTGTTTACGCCTTCTGCCATGGTCTGAACATCTGGAGGAGTGCATTCATTACTAGGTGTAAGAACAGTCTGCTTCTTAGGAGCCGAAGTATGGCTTCTTGAATGCAAGCTCATCTCTGGCTAGTGTAATAGCCAAACGTTTCACTTTGTAGCCTGAAATACCATTAACCAGCATGGTTTCAATGTTCCCAAAGCCATGATTAGCTAAACTTGAACAGGAAAAAGCTGCAGCATTTCCTGCACCTGTAACAATCATAGCAGGATCTTTAGGTCTTTGATGTAATAAATGTTGAGGTACTTCAGTGCCCCCCCCACTGGAATCAGATAGTGTGCAATCGCAATGCTTGTCAGAATCATTCCAGTTCTGGAAAACTTCTGTTCCCAGATCCATTGGCATATAGATCAGGTTTGTGGTTTTTACTTCCAGTGGTGTAACAGCAAGAGCTAGATTAAGACTGTTCTGAATGCAAGCTAAAGAGCAGGCTTAGAGAGACAGTCTTTGTAAGTCTCTTCCTGGTGCAATTGCAATTAGTTCTGTGCTGAGATAACAGGCCTTGATGGAATTTACTGACAAGCACTGCAGTTGCATGGTTTTTAACTGTGGTAATTGTTTGCTCATTTGCTTCCCATAATGAAATGGGTGATTACTTCGCATTCAGAAGTCTGAAATGCTTTGATTTTGTGTAGCTCAATAAAAGTCTGTGGAAACCCATTATTTCCATTTTGATTTATCATTATGGGGCTGGTTTTGAATTCACTTTCCCCTGGCTTAAACCATTGAGAACCTAACATTAAGGATTCTGTTGCGCTGAGCATGTTTATAAGGGCATATTTCAGATAGAATTTTGTTGTTTAATATTCTTTTCTCCTTACCTTTTTTCCTCTCGTGCTGCAGGAAGAAGTGCGTCAGGCTGTGACTCCAGCCGAACCTGTCCAGTACTATTTCACTCTTGCTCAGCAGCCTGCCGCAGTACAGGTACAAGGGCAACAGCAAGGACAACAGACCACCACATCTACAACTACCATCCAACCAGGACAGATAATCATTGCTCAGCCTCAGCAGGGGCAGGTCAGTGAGCAAACACAGCTTGAGGGACTTGTGATTCCTCATAGCCAGTTAAATCCTAGATTTCCTTACTCTAAACCAGGGCTGTCCAGTTGGTGGCCCATAGGCCATGTACGGTCCTCAAAGGAATAACCTGTGGTCTTCAGGCTTCAGGACTGGGTGCCACTCCTGCCATTACTGTCCTGCTACTGCTACCAGAGCCGCCAGGCTCCCCTTCCCTCCTCCAGCTTCTGCTTCCTGCCCTTGCCCCTGGAGGCTGGGCAGAGCAGCCTGTGGGTCTAAGGGCACCTGTGGCTGGGAGAGTTGGAGGGATCTGGAGGTGTTGATGGGGGGAGAGGGGCACGCAGTGTGCAGCCCAGGAAGCCTCCAGCCACTTAGAAGTTGAATGGCCTGGATCTGCACTATGTAGAAAAAAATCTAGCATGTGTATTTGGCAGGTGCTGTATTTCTTACCTGACACACTCTGCAACTAATTACTTCCCAGCCATTCACTAGGAAAGCTGTTGCCATACTATGGGCAAACTGTATTATAATGTCTCAATTTAAGGTCATCGTGCAACTCTTGAATGAGAGCAAGCAGGGCTACAACAAAGAGTGTTTTCATTTCTTCCAAAATCAAGTTCGGTATTTTTCATGCACAGTTGTGGTGGGGAATTAGCTGTATGGTCACTTAATCATCCCTTTGTTAATGCAGAATTTTGTCCTAATAATAAAAGGACTGTAGGATAACCATAGGCTGCCTGGTATATCTCCTCTAGGGAGTTGCTAAAGAAATGGTACATCCTTTATGTATTTTAAAAATAGATCACATGCACTGGTTTTGTTTTCATGAGGCTTTACAAAATCATCCTGCCACTTAAAAATTTAGCTATCCAAATAAATTATGTATTGTGTAACTTGTGAAGGGAGAGGTGCCTCCAGTTAACCAGAACTCCCAGCAAGTAACATCTCCCAACAACGGTAGAGAACTATTTTTTTTGATGTGGCTGAAAGTCTCTAGAAAACATAGCACTGTCCATCTCCACCTCCCAGATCCAAAGGATAAACCTCTTTTAATGTCATAGTTCTATATTCATCTCAATTGGTTATTGTAAAATCATCTGGGAGACCTGGGAATATATGGACGGACTGTGTACAATGCAAGTCACGTGTTTTGCACTGAAGCAGAGATAGTTAAAGCATTTGTACGAGCCTCCTTAATAGGAGAATGATGTTCCCATATTTTCAAAAACAAATGTAGGTCTGTTGCTTCATAGGAGTAAGCTGATCCCTTATTCCAAAGCGAGTGAGGGCAGCTGTGAGACAGATTCTGCCACTTGCATTCAGAAGTGAAGCTGTAATGCATTTTTGTCCTTGAATGGGCACTGTCAATCATGTATATCTCACAGCTTTACTGGCTTTTATTCTTACCCCTTTTTATAAACACATTCTAAAGCTGGAAAGTAGCTGCTGACACTTTGAAAATAAAATATAGTATGTATAACATGGGTGGGCAGTTGAAGAGAGAACATGGAGCCAGCCTAGTTTCTCTATGTTTAGTGAAAGTTTGTTGCTGTGTTTCTGGTGTTCTAGGTACCAGTGTAGCCTTTTTTTTGTCCATACAAGCATCTTTTTTGGAGGAAAGACATTCCAGTGATTATTCCAGTGTCTAACTCCGGAATTGAGAAACCTGGCTTCACGTCTTTGCTGTGCCCCAGGCTTCCTGTGTGGTATTTGCCAAGTCACTTAGCCTTCTTGTGGTTCACTTCCCCCATCTGTAAAATGGGCAGAATAGCACATTGCTGGCATGGGTGTTGTGAGGATAATACATTGGACTCTAAGGTGCCCAGGTACAACAGTAATGAGGGCCAAATAAGAACCTGAGAGAGATCTTAAGTAATAGCAAAAATGCGTGTTCACATCTGCAGATAAGCTTTAGTATTAAACTCTGTAGATTTTCTTGAAATCTAAAATTACCACTTTCTGTTTTTTGGCAGCAGTAGATTTAGAATCCTGGAAATTTTCTCTGCTAGCTTTTTACAGCATGGAAGTAGGCCACATTTTAAGCATCAGCACCGAGGGTTATAAAATAAACCTTTGTTACTGGCTTTAGACTTCTGAGGTTCTGCTTCCCCTCAGACCAGGCGATCAGCGTTCCTTCCTGTCTTTGATTGCAGACTACCCCAGTGACCATGCAGGTTGGCGAGGGTCAGCAGGTACAGATTGTCCAGGCACAGCCCCAAGGACAAACACAGCAGGCTCAGAGTGGAACTGGGCAGACTATGCAAGTCATGCAGCAGATCATCACCAACACTGGAGAAATCCAGCAAATACCGGTAAGTTTCTACTAGAGAGCACAGAACAGTCTAAGGTCCTGGGTCAAACTCTGTTCTGTCAGACCTGTTATAGGACCAGGCATCTGTGTACCTTGATGGTGAGAGAGGAAATGTATTGAGTGGTATTTTTTGACCCTCTTCCCACTAGAGAAAAAGTGTATGAATCTGATATGTGGCACAGAGAAAAAAATTATAACTTCATTCAGACCTTTTTTTTTTTTTTTTACTTGGGGGGGGTGGGAATAAGTAAGCATGTCTAGGAAGCTGTGAATAAATCTTTACAACATATGCACTTACGCACTTGCTGTATAAGTTTGTATTACCAACAGGGTCCTCACCAAGGCATATTTTACCTCTGTTTGCTTGATTCTGCACCTCACCATAAGACAGGTGTTATCTGTGGCACTGCCACAACAATTAACCCTGACTTTCACAGCACATCTTTATAAAATGTTTTCAGATTGCTAGAGGGAAAGTTCTAAAGGAGCAGAAAATGCTTTTATTTTAATTATTAGGCTTTCATATTACCATAGGCCTGGCTGATGGTCCTCAGCATTTGGTCTCTAAACACCAAGAACAGAAGTAAAATTCTGACATTTGTCCTAAATAAGCCTATAGGTCAAATGGATGTCACTTTTTTCCCCTCTCTGTAGGCTATAATCACAACAAAGTTCTTGTCTGGAAAATTTCACACTCCTAGAAAATCTTCCAGCTTTGTGTGTTTGAACACCAACACACAGGGTCAGACTTGGTGAACAAGAGAACCATTTCTAATTGCTTTTGGCTTCATTTACTGAGGCTTTTGTACAGCGGTGGTGAGATCTGTGACCACAGAAGGATCAGTCCAACTGTCAGGATGAGCAAAGCTTCAGCCTAGTTTTGTTTTAGTAAACATCCCTGCCTTGACTCAGCATTTGAGAAAGATTCATAATTTAGATTTTGAGTGTTTTGAGGTTGAGTTCCCAGCTCTTTCCACTTTCTTTCAGTTCTCAACTACTTGGCTTAAAGTGTAGGGCAGAAAGGAAATATGTTCCATGCCAAATGCAGCACCTCCCTTCTCTTCACTGTCTCCCCCCAGTAGCATCTTTTACTTACAAAGTGTTATGCACGCTCTGCTCAATTAGAAGCCATGTGATCTATAGGAGTCTAGAGCAGTCAGTAAAAACAGCCTTCCTAGAATTATGCTAAAATGCACATAATGTTCCCTGTTCTCTGTGTTTCTTTTACACACACTTTTGGTTTCCTTTCCATATGCAAGTCTCTCCAAAGGGTTTGTTCTTAAAATCGCTTGGGAGAGAGATCCTTTATGCTAGTAAGCTTGTTTTATTATAGTTGTGCTTACTAATATGACTCCAGTTTAGTTGAAACGGCTGTTTCATTGCTGAAACTTGGTATTCAGTAGAGACAAGTGAAGAGCAAAATTCCCTGCAGGGAAGGGACTTGTGAGATGCTGCAAAGAGATGAGGGAATCTGCGTGGCGCTGCAATACGTGGCTTTTGAAGTGTTTCACTGAAAATTATTGTTGATCCCCAGATGCGTGGATCTTGGTGAGAACTTGCCTCGCATCCAAAAGGATAGAGACCTGAGATGCAGTGTTTGTAGGGACATGTTCCCTTTGGCTTTTCATAGTCTTCCCTTCGCAAGGGCCTAAAAGGCATCTCAACTCAACCCTCCTTCAGCTTCTTTCACCTGTCTATAGATGCAAGCCAATTGCTAAGTGCCTGACCTGCTAGTTTTTGAGATTGCAGCATCAAGCTTAAAACAAATTCAGAGTTCTGATTCTTTTGACATATGGCTGCTCTGTTCTGCATCTTATCTGGACTGAATATTGCTCAGTAGATGCTCATGTTCAGGGCTGTTTATGTGGTAGATTTGAAACCTACAGGCTTTGACCCCTGCCTGTGCTGCAGTGAACCGACTCTCCTAAGAGGTGGACATAATAGGTTCTTTCCTATTTAGAAGGATCACACATACTGAGACTGAGTAATGTGCTGTCTATCACTTTCTGTAGTGTAATATAAGAGATGAAGCTAGTGCATTTTCTTCTGCAACAATCCATGCGGATCTCAGTACACCATCAGGAAATAAGCTCCAGCATTCTGCTTACGTAGAAGCCAGTATCCTCTGATGCCCAGCTGAGCAGATAAGCAACACTAGTGAAGTTGTGTTGCTTATCTAACTTCATTTGTGCCAAAGAACTGGCATTAGTAAAGTCCCTGGTGCTCGGAGCACCATATACTTTGCTCTAGAGGATTCGTACTCCTCTTTGTCATTGCCACTGATGTGTTCTGTACACCTTCAAATATAGAACACTGTCCTCTAATGTCCATCCTCAACACCACAAAGGGATCGACTGCCATCCCTCACCAGACTCATTCCCTGCTGGTTAATCAAGAATGGCCATTATGCAGCGATCCTCCAGCGTCCCCATAGTATGCTGTTGTGCCCTATTGGGATCACTGGAGTGCACCATCTCAAGCACTGAGAAGCAGGTCTCTGCCATCTTCCAAAGACAAAGTGAAGCTCTTCATCATGAGATTTTTTTAAACAGGACCTTCAGTTATGCCATCTGCAGCATGGTTGTTATACCACTTTTGTTATCCTGCTTTTCTGGATCACCCTATTTGATTTCGGTGTCTTCCTTTTAATGGCTCATTTTCAACACTGATTTCCTCCAGGGCTTAGTTAAGTCGCATCCTGTCTCTTGCAACATATACATAAAAACGAATAGTAGAAAACTGGTAGCACTGTCTGTGTTAAGTTTGAGATGTTCCTCAGAACCTGCTCACTCAGGTTTTGACATATTTATAACTTTCTGGTGGAAAAAAAATCTGCATTATTATTTTCTATGCTTGTCACAAAATGGCTCCATTTTTTTTTCAACTTCGAGGGAAGGTGGATGGACAAGCCAGAGTAGTTTTGCTCTTGCAGCTCAATAACTGAGCATTAACATTTTGAGATGTTCATGTTTGCTGGACCTCAGAGCATTCATCCCTTTTGAAGAATCAAAAACACATTATGAGCATGCTACTTCTGTTTTACCCATTATGTTAGTACTGTAGTTTAACATCTAAGTATCTTTACTGAAATATCTAGAGAACTCTGTCCAGTTTTGCCCCCCCCCTCAATACAGAAAGGATGTAGATAAATTGGAGAGAGACTAGCAGAGGGCAATAAAAATAGTTAGACTGAGGGGGATTTAATAGCAGCCTTCAACTCTCTGCAGGGGGGTTGCAAAGAGGATGGAGCTGGGCTGTTCTCAGTGGTGGCAGATGACAGAACAAGGAGCAATGGGTTCAAGTTGCAGCAAGGGAAGTTGAGGTTAGATATTAGGAAGAACTTTCTTATGAGGAGGGTAGTAAAGCACTGGAACAGGTTACCCAGAGAGGCTGGAAAATCTCCATCCTTGGAGGTTTTTAGGACCCAGCTGGGCAAAGCCTTGGCTGGGATGATCTAGTTGGGGATGGTCCTGTTTGGAACAGGGGGTTGGACTAGATGTGACCTCCTGAGCTCCCTTTAACCTCCATTTTCTCTGATTCTGTGAAATGTTTATGCTCATGTGGAGCCTTTAACTGCTGTAGAGGTTATTACTTCGAGGCCAACATTGGAGCTCCGAGACAAAACTGGTGAAAGCTGCAGTGTTTGTGTAGATTCCAAGACCAATAATTCTTCTTCCAAGCTTCCCTAGTGAATCCAAATTTTCTTAACCCTATTTCAAAGGAAATATAAAATGCACTTGTATATAGCAAATTATCCACAAGGGAATTAATTTAAATATTCACAAGTCAGTCAGTGGAAAAAGTTATGTTTTTAGTAGTAATATTGATGCAGACCATATACCAGCCTCAGTTAGGTCAGGAGTAAAATCCTGTGGGAGTGTTCTGTGTTAAAAACTTGGATGTCCTTTCCTTGCAGTATTCCTGATTCACGTCAGGGCTGTTCCCTCCTTCTCAAGAAGATGAAATGTCATCAAACATACAAAAAAGATCAAAATAATATCATAGCATCACTAGTTGCAACTATCTCCAATAGCAGTTTTCTTGTTTTGTAGGAGTCATCTTATATACAAAAGAATTAACTTGATCACTCATCATACTTGACATGAAAAGTATATGCCCTTGCCTCCAAAGGTCTTTTACCTTTTAGAAAAAGCATGCTACAGTGGCCATTTCAGGTTTAATTAAAAGAATTTGAAGTTTCTCTTATTTTCTTTGACAAGATCCATGTAACTATTCATTTAGAGTGCTAATCAGTTCAGTCCTCCAAATATGATCTATTACCATGGTTTCTGTTGTGGAAACAAGAAGGCAAGTTTGTGTGTTTCAGGTTATGCAGTGTCTGTTTTATTTTCCTTCCCTACCCCACTCCCACTTGTTCCTAGGTTCAGTTGAATGCTGGCCAGCTGCAGTATATCCGCTTAGCTCAGCCTGTGTCGGGCACCCAGGTAGTCCAGGGACAGATCCAGACACTTGCAACTAATGCACAGCAGGTACGTACTCCTGTACTAAGGGCCTGATGTTAACTGTTAAACTCATTTGTGTTTCAGTAGGTATGTCCATTTGGGCTCTGTCTGAAAAACCATAAGTATATCCATTACACACATGTAAAATGGATAGCTGGCCCAGTGCCTCACATTAGACTAATATAGATATATAGAGCTAGAGATGTGGATATAATCCCTTTCTCTTTCTTTTGCAACCCATCGTTGACTTGGTTATTAGCTCACATTGGTTGTGCATCAGGTGTTAACCTATAACCCATCTCCTCTATTACAACTGCCTCGTCCTTCCATTTCTTTCTCTGGAGCAGTGGTTTTTCAAACAGGGGTACACGTATTCTTGTGGGCGGGAAGAGCTTTGCCAAGAGGTATGTGCCTCAATTTTAGTAATGATGCTGCAGCTTGAGATTTTGGTATTGGCACACTTCCTAAGGAATGAAGATGCCAAGACCCATCATATGTTGTGGGTGCAAGCAGCAGTATTTTTGCAGGTAAAGGTGTGTATGGCCAAAGAAGTTTGAAAACCACTGTCCTAGGCTTTCAGTAGGAACAGCACTAACCCAATCAATGCCAGTGCTGGGCTGTTTCATATTCTTGTCACACAGCTGTCACTGAAACATGATTTTTATCCACCTTTAAAGAATGGAAGAACCGTTATGTCTCCCCTCTGATCTGCGAGTCTGTGCAGTGCTTATGAAAGTAAAAGTGGACTTGCTTATGTTTTGTTTTGAATTATTGAATCCTGTCATGCCTTTTATTCTCAACTAGCATTCAGTGTTATGCTATTTTGTGTGGTTTCATTTCTTTTGTTTAAACTGACATTGCTGAGAACTTGTACAGGAGACTGATACGGCACAGAAAGCTAAGTACTTGAGAGATGAGACTTAGATCTCTTTGGTCTGCCACTGACTTGCTGATACGTGACTCCGGGCAAGCTACATAAACTCTTGTGGTGCTTTACCACATTGTAAGGCTTAATTTAAAAGCATCTGGCAAAACTCCAATGGAAGGGAGGACAAAATACTGTTGTCAACCCTACAAGGAGTTAATAAAATCCTCTTAGTGATGATTGGTGTCTTTTTATTGTAGATCACACAGACAGAAGTCCAGCAAGGACAGCAGCAGTTCAGCCAGTTCACGGATGGACAGGTACGGATCCCAGAGCACGTGGCAATTGACTGAATGTTAATTAGCCAAAGCCCCCAGAAAGTCCAGGGGCTAAGAAATCTCTCAGTCTCAGGCACTGACTGTCTAAGCCTGTGGAGAAGTCAGCTAAAGGAGACTTCCCAAAGTATAATCAGGAAAAAGGATTCATAAGAAATGGAACAGAGACTTGCAGTGCATTATCACACTACGTTGGCTCCATATTAACTTGGTGATTTGTGAAAAATATAGCAAATCAGCTGCCTGACCTTGCCCTATGTGTATCATCCCAAAGTTTACTGGAAATAGGATGTTATTTTTTATTCAGATAGAAAGTTTTTAAAGCAGTAAGGACAAAACTTTGTAGCCTCTCACTATGTCATTAGAAGGCATTCTGACACTGAACTGTTGGAGAGAACAATCTGTCTGTGTAAAGGGAGTTTAGGGAGAAGTTTAGTGTATTGTTTTTAAACTGCATCTAAAATAGATTAAATAATTACCGTGAGTCCTTTGGACTTTGTAAGGACTTTTGAATCCAGTTTGTTGAAGATGGGAGCAAGTGATACGAAAATTTAGCCTCATTAAATGTCAACATTTAGAAAATGGAGTTTGCTTTTTAAATGGATGTTGACCAAACTGGTATTGAATGCATAAATAGGAGATGCAAACCAGATAGCAGAAACCACTCAATAAATCAAACTCGGCCATAAACTGGGAAAAGATGTTGAAATGTGTTGGAGGGCTTATGTCTCTCTGTTACTCAAATGAGTTGTGACAGTAGTATTCGGTGCCAGAACAAAAGTGAGTTCTGTCTGCATACAGCATGTAATAAGATTTTCAGTCTAAATGACTGAGCAATAATTTACCTTGAATATGGACTGCAAAATAAGGATGTTTTAGAAATTACCTGACCAATCTATCCAGTACTTAAAAGAGGTTCAGTTATCAGCAGGAACTTTTCCAATCCTAATCATGTCAAGAATCAAGCTCTAATGGGATTATGCAGAGAATGTTTTGTAAAAATAAAGTCTGTCAGATTCAAACAGGTTATTAGATATTCATGAAACTCTTTCAGTGTAGCATCCGTCCCATTTAAGTACTGAATGCCTTCCAGCATTTCTGGCCTAATCTGAGGCAGGGAACATATTTTACTTCCTCTGACAGCTGGTTTTTACATTAATTTAGACTAAACAACTAGCACGGGACTTGAATGGAATGCTTGTTGACTATCCTGATGGCACTAAACTACCTCTTCTCCCTTCCTTTCATATCTTACAGCAACTCTATCAAATTCAGCAAGTAACCATGCCTGCAGGTCAGGAAATCACCCAGCCCATGTTTATTCAGTCCACCAATCAGACCTCTGATGGACAAACAACACAGGTGACGGGGGACTGAAAAGCTTCACTAGGAAGTATTCTGTGGGTGTGGAAACTGGCTCACACCAGCCTAACTTCTGCCATACCAACCTCGTCTGATGATCACATCCTCTTCTGTGTATCTGTACTTGATATTAAGCCTATAGTAGGCTATGATCTCTGGTGCATTATATGCCCTTCTCTGATGGGTATGAGAGAACATCCAACAGAAACTGAAAAGGATGCAATATTTTTTTTTTAAGGAAACCAACATTTCACCATATTCCGTTGCTTGTCCAAGCCTATGAAACTGAAAATAATTAAGCAAAAAGAAATGTATAGTATCATATTGGACAATGTAGTCGAACATTTTTTTTCTCCAGTAAAATTTTTTTAAAGGGTACTGCGTCTTGTTTTTCAAAAGAGCTTTATTCCCAGTATCCTGTTTGTACTCGACTCTGAATAGAAATAGACAAAGTCATCCCATCCTGTTAGCTCAGTAGGGGTGTGCGTGCGTGTGTTTTTGGGAGACTTTCCTCTCCTGCCTCCTTTTTTGGTAAGCTTGAACATTGGATATTTGCAGCTTTTGGAAAAATACATTCCTTGTGTTACGAGAAAAGTATTTTCTAAGGACAAAAGAGGCTTTAACTTGGCCTGGTTTATTCCAGAAACACTAAGGGAAATCTGGAAACAAAAAAATGTTGCTAACTGTTGTGATAGTTTGTCAGTGCATGTATTATAAGCTTCATAAAACGCAATAAATTTTCTTTTTAGATAAGTGGTGTTTTTTCTTTCTTGCTGTTTGAGTCCATGCAAGTTCCAAAGCACAGCATAAACTCCCAAGGTATAACCTCCTACTGAAACTTTTAAGGATGAGTCCATGGGGGAAATGGCATATAATGTGTTAATTGAAGTCTAGCAAAAAGAGTTTAGTGAGGGAGAGGCTGAATAGGGGTCCTGTTTCCTGGAGATGACCTCAAATGCAAGACGCAGCAACTAATAGGATTGCTGCTTTCACACCGAAACATCTCCAGGCACTCTGGGAACCAAGATAGATGTACAGATGTTTCTTCATCCACCTCTGAAAGGGAGCAGTTCTTTTGGTGGATATACAGTTACGACCAGGCCATGGCAGGGGGTCGGACTAGATGATCTGCTCAGGTCCCTTCCGACCCTAGAAACTATGAAACAGTTAGGTAGCTGTGCCCAGCAACAATATGCAGCAGCTCACTACAAGAGGTGAAGTTGAAACTGCAACCAGGGTGGGAACACAGGGAGGCAAAATGTGATAGCCTGAGAGTCATTTTGGCCAGGATACCAGAGTTAAATCCCTATTTTTATTCCATGTGACCAAGAATACTCAGGACTTCTGTTTTGCATCTGGCCCAAAAGGCCCAAGGAGCTTCATTAGATGCAATGCTGTCAAATTCATTTGAGGCAGAACCAAGGGTCAAGAGGCCATGGATAGGTGTGGAGCACTATGGCACAGTGCTGTGCAGGCGAGTCCCCCTCTTGTACTATATCTAGCTCCTCTGACCACTTATATGCAAAAGCACAAAATCCACTGAATTTTCAAAGCGAGGGAGCTGTAGCTAAGACCACAGCCCAGCAGGCAATCCAAGTGCTTCAAACACTTAAGTTGTAACAGGCTGTGGCCAATTACATGTCAGTGAGACCATCTGTTTCTTCCTTACAATGCCAAACTCAGCTGTGCAGCAGGCAGAGTAAGCATGTTGAACTTCCCGAGTAGGCATCTGCCTTGAGGCATAGCCCGGGACGCATGGGAATTCCAGAGATAACTGCCTCCAACGAGAGAACTCCAGTTGCTTTCAGTGCTTGACTGCATCAAAATAATAGACCCAAAGACCAGCTTGTTCGGGTCCAGAGTTGAGCAGAGATTTGTTGCACTCGAAAACTTCGAGGCCCTGTGGACTCGGGTGTATGCTTAAAGTTGCAGAAAAAAGCTTCGGACCACATGGTCGAGGTGATGCCTTTTATTAAACCAACTAAATTTTTGCAAGAAAAAATGTCTTTGATTATGCCCTGGATACCAGAAAAAATGCTTCACATCAGTGTTCTCTTATTACAGATTTATCCTTTAAGTGACTTGGATGAGTATTCTTGATCTCTAGTCCAGTCATAGCAGTCTTAAACATTTGCTTTTCTTTAATAACACACTCGGACGCAGATGAGAGGGATCGGTTCCACGTGTCTGGGCTTCGCAGACGTTTCCTTTCTAAAGACTGGCCGCTAGAGGGTACCACATGACTGTATATTTACATAAGCCGATGTCCTGTGGCACCAGAGAAGCAAGGAGCGGAGGTTAACTTTGGGAACGTGTCTCATACGTGTGTGTGGATGTACTGTCCTCCGCAGAACTACATAGATGGACTTCATTAGGCAAGTATGTGGTTGGTGGGTTCTGTCTTTGCTCAACAGATGACACTTTGCGGGATCCCCACCTCCCCCCTCACTGGCAGCACATCAGGTGTGTTCTTTGCATAGCTAGCCTCGTGTCAAAAAAGCTGTTGGAAATGGATAGTGTCCTGGCTAACGTGGCCTGAATACTGGCCAACTTAACCCAGCAGCATTGCCCTTCTGGGCCCAACGCAAAGTGCTTGGGATGATGACAAGAAGTTTCTTGCTTCATAAGCAGCTCTGCTGGCGGAACAACATTTAGCTTATGCCTTGGAGGATGCCAAGCAGCACAGCTGGAGAATTAGCTTGTAATTAAGGAAGGAGTAGTACAGCACTTTGGGTCAAACAAGCACAACTTCTGGAAGGGGAAACTGTGCCTTTCTCAACTGTCCCACTGGCTTGCAAAAGTTAAAAGCTGAGGCAGGGGGTAGAGTTTACAGGGCTTTTTGCTTAAAGTCTCTCCAGAGTGTCTTAATTCATAAAGAAGGGGCATTTCCAAGCCTTTTGATGTCCAAACATTTGTCTGACAGCTTTCCTTACTATGCTGCTGGTCCAGCAAAAGAGACCACGCAAAAAACTTTTGCCTCTAAATCCATACAGGAAAGCAGCAATTGGGTGAGAGGCACAGACAGAGCAGGGAGGAAAGTTTACGGGAAGCAGATCCCAAATAGGCATAATGGTGAACAGAGAGGACCCTTCATAGGTTAACATGGGGTTTTCTGAAACCCTCTGAATTGGCTTAATTGCTCCTATGGGAGTGTGCTTGTTCCATCGGCTTCAAATAGGATGAAGCCAAAGCCGAGGGCTGTTGAAACCACCTGGCCTGAAGTGGGCAGCACATGCTGAAGTTCACCAGTGACAATTGTTTTGGCTGATACAAGCTGTGGGGAGATCCCCGATTTCCCTCCACGCTCAGCGTGACAGGCTTAAAAAAAGCACAGCAACAAATGGAATTGAACGGCGAGAAGCGTAAGCAAACGCATGCGACTGAAATAAATGCGTGAGCTGTGGACCTGCAGCGCCCTCTGAGCAAAGCTGTTGGATTCCTGATGGGGAACTCAGTGGAAGTATTACGCAGCAGCAGTTCTCACGGCAGGTACAACACGCAAGTGAGCTGCAAACTGCGCAATGTTCAGCCTGATTTATGGAGTGTTGTGCGTGGCGCTGATCACCCCCCTGAAATACAGAGTGAAAAGCAACCAGCCAAGGGTAACTCAGGCAGCGATTCAGTGGGGCCTGGGTAAAGCCAAGAGAAGCAAAGGACAGGGTTCTTTAGCTTGCGTGGGCAGGGGGAAACGGGAGATTTTGAAAACTGATCACTCCCCTCCTTGTTGCAGGAGACGCTCCAATAAACGAACCCGCTGCGTCGATAGAAGGGAACGCTCCTCATCTCGGCGTGATGCCGGTGTGTGATCAGCTGTTGCCTGAGGCTGCCAGGATGTGTCCTGCCTGGATTTTAACCAGTGTGGGGTAATTTTGCAGCTCTGCAAAGACAACACACTCAATTATGGGAGCACCTGGCTGCCATGCCCTGGCCTGGGCAGTCCGGAGGAGTCAGCTGGGCATTGATCGGGGGTCCTTTTTGGCTTTAAAATCTATGAAATGGTGATTCTTAAATCTCCTGTGGCATGATGCTAAACAATGGTCTGTCTGGCCTGGAAAGGAATTTCTCCCTTGAATCCATGTTCAAATATAAATGATGCGTTTAAAATGTCTATGTGGTGTAGAACAGTTGGGGTCAACCTTTTTGACAGGCATGTCACAAGTGAAGACCCTCACCCTCGCTAAGTGCTGTTCCAGTCCCCTTCCCCTGTCTGACCTTCTGCTCTGCTTTCTGCTCCCTGCCCTGTGCTTCCTGCCTGATCTGCTGCTGAGTTGCCTGTCCTCTCCCTGATGTGCCCCATGCTACACACGGGTCGTCCACCCTGGTATAAAACACCATTAAGGCCTGAAGAGACCTTCACTAGCTGATCCCAGCAGTCTGTTTCCCCCACTCCCCGGTCCTACCCCTTCAGTCCTGATAAGAAGGCAGAAACAGTCTGAGCTTAGCCGAAGTGTTTGCACGCTCTGGTTGGAGGGAGCTGGTTTTGGCAGGTAGCGATAACCCATGCTATTTTTGCTTCTCCTGCCAGAGAGGTCCCAAAGGCCACTTAGCATTTATACTTCTGGGCCTGCCATTGTTTATGATTTAATCATGAGGGGGTGATTTGGTGTTTGCTTTTTCTATCTGATCTCAGCGTTTGTGCTCACGCTTGGATGAAAGTTGACCAGGAGCCAGGCTCTTCCTTTCCAAGGAGTCTGCAGGATCAATTGAGGTGTCTCTTCCTCGGGAGTGATTAGCTAAGCACAAACTCTCCGCGAGGATGTGCGGTTGCCGCTTATGCTTGGGAATCGGGATTCTCAGTTTACTGCCAGTTCCTTACCGCTGGCTTCGCTGACCTTGTCTTGAGGCCTTTGAGGCATGTGACCCCCTTTCCCCACTTCTCAGGAGTCAATGGTGTGAAGGTCACCTCTGGACCAAGGACTGTGGCTGGGTTGGAAGTACTCGGAGATCGTGCCCAAGGGGAAGCCTAGCAAGTCCCAGGCGATATATGACTGCCAGCAGCTGAGCTCTGAGGGTGCATCGACTGCAAAAGCAAAGTCAGAGGAGAGCTTACTGTGGGGTTGCAGATCTGTATGGAAACATGTTGTTCTGGGGTGGGGGGTATGTAGCCCTATGTCTATGTAAAACCTCAGACTGCTGTCTGGTAGCATGTCATGCAAGGCAATGGAAAATCGGGCTGGTTGCATCGTGCAGTAACATCCTATGTTGTCCTGCTCTTCTGTGCCCACACAGCCCTGCTCTGGTTGAGAGAAGTGAAGTCGAAAGGCCTGTTAAATCGTCAAGTCTGGCCTCTGGGATAGCACACACCTTTCGCTCTCACCCTGCCAAGTAGGTATCCCAGGAACTTGAGCGTGGCTGGGACCCATTTCCCAGAAAGGCACCTGTCAAAGGGGGAAGAGTCCACCACTTCCCTTGGTAGCTTGTTCCAATGATGAACCCCCTTCTCCCGGTTCAAAAACTTGCACCTGGTTGGGTTTGCCGGGCTGTAGCTGCTGCAGTGGATTTGGAGAGCAGACTCTCCTCTTAAAATGGGGGGGTAGAGGCCAGAGTCAGGTCAGTGCCACAATCCTGACTGCACTTCCCAGAAAACCCTTAGACAACATTTCAGTCTGCTTTCCTCACCTCCTGGCTTGAAAGACCTGGATGCGCAGCAGTGAAGGATCCGCCTACCTGCCCAGAAGACAACAAAACTATGCTGATTTACACTAGCTGGCACAGAAGAGTTCCCGTAGGGTTCATTGGAAAAGCGCTTACTG